CTCTTTTTTTTTTTTTTTTTTTTTTTTTTTTTTTGAGAGGTTTTTGCTATAGGGCGTGTGCGCTTGCCAGAACGACAGAGAGACAGAAAGCGAGAAATCACCCCCCAGGGAGGATGGCCACGCTGCAATCTCTTCTCCTCCATGATGCTCTTCTTAGGATCTTGAGCACGCACGCACACACGCACCTGACGTGAGTTGAAGCCACCGGGTCCAGGACTCAAACTGTGGTCGACTACATGGAGTCCAGTGACTTAGCCGTTACGCCAACTGCTAGTCCTGAGATTCTCTTTTCTTAATGCAGACATTTACAGCTACAGAATTTTTTTCTGAGTACTGCTTTTGCTTTATCACAGAAGTTTCATATATTGTGTTTTTATTTTTCTTTATCTCAAAAAGTATTTTCTAATTTCCCTTGTGATTTTTAAATCCATTTATTGTTTAAGAGTGTGTTTTGCTATTGCCACATATTTGTGAATTTTCCAGTTTTGCTTCTGTTATTGATTTCCAGTCTCATTCCATTGTACTCAGAGAAGGTACTTTGTGTGATTTCAGTCTTTTAAAATTTATTGAGGCTTATTTTGTAGCCTAACATCTGGTGTGTTTTGAAGAATGTTCCATGTGTAAACTTGAGAAAAATGTAGTCTGCTATTGTTGGGTGGAGTGTTCTATAGATGTCTGTTAGTCTAGTTGCGTGTGGTCTCTGAAGTCTCTGGTCCTTGGCTTGTGTTCAGTTAGGGTTTTGACAGAGATTTCCTTGATCACCAGGAGCCATTAAAAAAAAGGGAGATCTCTCAGTCTTTTCATATTGGTTCTGTGTTGGGGTACGCCTTTACTGTTTAGATAGGTTGTTTGCAAATCTGTCTTCAGTCTTTATTTCCTGCTTATGCCGAACCATTGCTAAGTTTCTTTTTCCTTGTTTCAGTGTTTGGTTGGTTGCTGAAAACTGAATATTTTTCAGAGTTCTGACAAAGTTAATTCTGACTATTTTGATTTTGTTTTTGTTTTGCTTGCTTCTGTAGAGGGATCAGACCTTAGGACTGCTTACTCCACCATTTTGTCTGGCCTCACGCCCAAACTCTCATTATTAGGTTAAAACATGGAAGGACATATCCTGGGAGTAAGAGTGAACTAGAAGTATAC